GAAATTGCCGGTAGAAGGATTCAATATTCGTCCAAGGATTTTGAATGGAAATAATAATCGTCGAACAACTTATTAAGTAGCGTTTTTTTCTCTAACTTGAAATCTCTCGCGAATATTTCGTATAAAAGAAGAAAGGGGAGAAATCTCCAAGGAGGGAACCAAAAGTACATTAAACCGTGTATATTACTTACAAGGACCAACAAAATAATAAATATTTTTAAATAATTTAATTTTTTTATAAATATACATATAGTATTAACAAAAGCGGGAAATAATAAATATACGGATACATATGTATATGTATATGTGCATGCATGACCAAAACTTTTGTGGAATTTTTATTGGAAAAAATGGTGATGGGTTAGGTTAGGTTGAAGTGGCTGCTAGACTTAAGGAGGCCAGCACACTTAGGCCCATTTACGGGTCAATTGTGATGCCACATGGATCCAAAACCCCTTCTCCTCAAACCAATTCGTGGAGTATATTGATTCAGGCTCTTATTCGTCATGGCATTCCCTACAGTAGTCATTGTGACTGACCCCGATGCATTCCACATGCCTTCCTCTCAGGATATATCCTATATTGAGAGTGAGAATTTCTCTCGATCTCCGTTTATTCCATTTCGGATAGAGTGCTGCCATCTATGTTACCCGCTTCTTCAAGGAAAAGTTCACTTAGTAAGAGCTTGCAGGAAGCGAGCAGCATACCTATCCTCTTCCAGACTGATGAAAGTGGAATCGAAGTACCCCCTCTTACTAGCTCATCTGCCTTCTCATTTCCTGGTATGTGACGCATAGCTATGTACAGTGGGCCGTGAGTAAGCAAATAACAAGTAATTTTTAAGAAAAAACACAACCGTAAATTTCATGATGATCCAGTGATCGGACCTAAAGCAAATTAGTATGGGCCCACCCTTAAGGTACCACGTGGTCCAAAGTTATGCAGTAACAAAAATGAAAAAAAAAAATATTCCGACGAATCAGTTTTTTGTAGGCGGTTAAAAAAGTGTTTTATTGGGAGTGGAACATGGAACGAAATGAAATACCGGAGCGGAGCTAGAGCAAAGCGGTAAAAAAAACCTTTGCTCCGAAGCCCTGGCTTGAAGGAAAGAAGAGCCATGTTTCCGAGCCTTTCTACCGCATATCTAAAGGATACACTGCCAAACTACTTAGTAGCTGGAAAGAATCGCGAATTGCTTCCCACTGGCGGAAGCCAAAGTGAATAAGGAAATCAAAGAAATTCTCAACTTCTTCCATGGGGGACTCTGAAAGGCTGCTTGAATTTAGACAGACGGGTCTTAGAAGTCTTACAAGCTACCTATCAGGACACTACAAGTTAAAGTACTATTTGAATGAAATGCGGCTTTCTGTAGAGATGGACTGAGGATCATGTGGACTAGGGAGGAAGCCTTATGTCCTCCATTTAAAATTTGGAACGTGGAACCCTCCAATGTGCTTACTTATAGTACAATTAGGGTTTACCACAATAGACCTTTTTAGGTCGCACCGCGAGTATACCCGAAGTAATACAATTTTGTAGGGAGGCACTCTGTTTTAGTCAGCTGAACTATGTCGATATACATATACTTATGTGATTCACTGTTGAATTTTAAGGCTAACGTCAGTTTCGGTGTAAGTGCTTGTTCTCAAACAAACGAACCAATGTGCTGGGGCGATGGCTATTTGGTTATAACAGGACACATTTCGTCTTGTCCTTGTTGACTACCACACAAGCGCAGATTTGGGGAGGACGCCACAGGCGCCGCTGTTGTTGAGGCCGATGATGTCAAAATTGGCGAAAGCCCATTGTTCAGTTGTTCTTGTTATCTTCTACATCATCAGGTGGACTAATAAAATTACAGCTTCACTTGAACGTCAACTCTAATAGACATCGTACAATTTCAAATTGTTTCATAAGAAAAATCAAATTCTTCGCCTTATAAAGTCATATAAATCATAATCAGACAAGCTGACAGACTTTGTCGGTTGGAATTTTTGACTTTTGATAAAAGCGATAGCACTCTACTCATAGAAGACAGTTCATAAACAAGTTGAGAATTACAAATAATGTCTGGTGGGTAAAATACTCTTTTGGTCTAAAGTGCGTTGCTACATAAAACTATTAGAGAATAAGTCAGTTTGGATTTCTGCCTTGCCCATGGAGAGCTTTTTTGTTTGACTTCAACAAAAAATTTTTAAACAAAAAGTCTCAAATCATAGACCCGACACACACAGTTGACTTACATAAACCGGGGTGATTACTGAAAGCACTTTACGCACAACAAAAAAAGTTTGCAGATCACTGCTACTGGGAAGTGCGTTGTGGCGCGTAGATGTCATTAATACCAAAGCACACATCCGTAGAAGGACATGTGATCGCTTTCAGTTTGCAGCAATAAAAGAAGACAACAAAAAAGCGAACAATAATGCAAAAAAGCACTACTTGCCATGATAATAATGATGATGAAGATGAGCATAAAACAACAGGAGCTAAGTAATATAAATCGAATGGATAGAAAAGCCAGAAAGGCAGACAGACGGCAGCAAAGGGGCACACTGGTATGGAATGAACCGATGCGCGCTACCAGTATTGCGAATAAAGCACAGCCAGCACAGCCAGCACAGCAGTCAATAGCCGGCCGCCAGCGTCGTTATTGTGGCGGCAGCTAGCTAGCTACGATGGTAGGCAACAACAAATGCATTCTGCTTTATTGCTGTATTCGCTCTTCGCATTTCATTGACATGGACATGAATACGTCAAGTTCAAATGACTTCCTGCAGCGTATGTGACGTGTAGAACTAATTGTTCACTTGGCAAGTGCTGACGCTGTCCGCCAGCAAATCACAACAACAACAACAGCAGCAACAGGCAACCAACCAGGCAGTCATCCATCTAAGCTTGGTGGCTTGATAGCCATCCGATGCCGGTCGATGGAGATGACATAAATCAGTTTTGCAAGAAATCAGTATGGATGCGCATGTGCGAACGGACAATAAAGTGTGTTACAAGTGTAAATCAAGTGGCTCAGATTAGACACTCATCGAAAGTTTAGAAAAAAACACATACAACTTTTATTTAATTAAAAGCGTGAGCGCCACCTGCAGCGACACCTAGTGGTCAAATGAATGCGGCTTGAGTGCACTGAGACTATCAAAAGATTTGAGCAAAAAAATTACTAAATTTGGAGGCAAAGTGTTAAAGTGTGTGCGCGTGTAATTAAATATTAAGCAGACAAATTAAAAAAAAAAAAAAAAAAAAGCAACGAAAGACTTAAGCAACAAACTTGCAGTGGAATAGCAAGCGACAGCTTATGCGTTTGCGTGAGATTTTCTTAACAACACCCAAAAACGGAGTTAATTGCTCAGCCAGACACACACAGCTAATGCCCGCTGGACTAATATGGTCACAGTTTTGTAACAAATATGCTGACGCAGAGAAATATTTAAAAGCGGTTAAAGTAAAACTCCGAAAACCATTTGTGGATTTTTATTATGACAAGTTAATTTTTGTTTGTAGACGTAGACGTAGAGGCAGCGTTAATTGCTTGCTGACGTTCGCTGTAAATTTCGCATATTTTAAAGCTAATTTTTCAGGGAATTTGAAGTTTCGAAATAGACATTTTTTGAGTGCAAATAAATTGTTGATGCGCTAGGCACATCATTATTTACTTATTTAGGTGCAAGGCCGTACAAAGTGGAAGGGGGTTATATCCAAGCAAGTATACAGAGCTTTGTAGAAGATTCAGCTAGAGCAAAATTCATTAAATATTGCTCAGGGCGTTTGACTTAACCAGCTGGTTTTGTGATGGCTTGCAAGTTTGGCATCATTAACCCTGCTGTGAAAACCTACTAAAGGTTTCGCTCTATTTTTGGCGAAATGAAGATTGAAATCGGTAGTGTTTCCATTTTAAATCAAGAATATTTTTAAATAAAATGCACTTGAATAATAAACAAATACTTTAAGACTCCATAGCTTTGAAAAAAAAAAATTTCATAAAATTTGTATTACCACAAAATTAAGGCAAGCAAACCATGATACGTCTCACTTTCAGTAGGGTTATCTTCCTAGGGTTAAAAAAGACGGTTCTACTATTCCAGGACCAAAAAAAAAAACACCCAGGCCATTTGATATATACAATGTCTGGCACTCTTCTGTTAGATTTTTGGTAGCCTAAGATAAATATGTAGATAGTTAGATATGTATATACATAACTAATGAACTCTATGGCGTTAAAATGCTAAAATTATTGGCCAGAAATTGTACACAATTGTAAAAATTTTCAAACTTGTGAAAATTTGTTTCGGATTAACCAATTAAAATTGCATTGTAAAAATAAGTAAATTAGTATTTTTTTTAATAAACAACTTTTTTCCTAACATTTAATCTTCATTTAGTTTTATGCCTTTAAAATAAAGCTTTCTTAAAACTCTTTCTTTTGGCACCGTTATTGAAATATTTTCCACAACTTGTGCATATGTAATTTTTTTAATTTGAAATTTTCAAACCGCACAAAAATTTCGCTAAATTTAGAACTATTTTTATTTTGTCGCAAACGCCTGGCAGCGGATGCCATTGCCAGGAAGGATGCGTATAAATAAGTTTGTCTGCTGCAACTTTGGTTTCTGAAATTTTTGTTTGAAATAGCTTAGCTATTCATCCGTAATTTAATTATTATTTATGTAGTTATTTATATATTAGGGCAAAAATGTGCGCAAAAATCCGGTTTAAATTTGCAATTTTTTATAATAACTAAAACATCAATAAATTTAAAATTGCAAACTTTTTTATGCCATAATTCAGTTAACATATTTTATAACCATAAACGCAATAACTAATCCACAAATATTTATCACTACCCAAGATCACTGATCATTGATCTCAAACCCAAAAACGAACATTGCTACATTCGAAGTGGGACAAGTGCATGAAAAACCAAAACAAACAGCCAATTTAAAAGACAACCGCATAAAAGTGCACCATAAAAGGTGATATGTTAACAAATTAATTTCAGAAAAAGGCTCAAAACATAAATCGTAAAAATTAAAAAAGAAAAAAACCGCAAATCAAATAATAAAACAGCGAACACACAAATCAACAAAGCAACAAAAGTGAGCACAACAAATCGCTTAATTGTGTACGAGTACGTTCAGCGTGCAGCGCGTGTCTGCGGCCCACGGCGAAGCAGCTATTGCTGTGAATCCAAACAAAAAAAATCACCAGGCGTTTAAATCATGAAAACCACAAAGCTAATGAACTAGCTATATTTGGCAAGGAATTGTGGAATATAGAATATTTTCGTACTAATCTAGACACTTGACGCTTACAAATAGAAGAACAAACAAAAAAACACGAGGCAAGAATTTGGCTAACATCAACTTTGAAGAGTTTGAACAAATAATTTTGTTGAAAAAAATGTCGTCGGCGACGATTGCTTTGGGTCATAAAAATCCAAGCCACACGACCAGCGGCACGACACAACAACAGCCGAAAAGCAACAGCAATCAAATAAAACCTACCAGCTGCAACAAAAATAGTAACAACATGAGCAACGCGATCAGCAATCAGCAGCTCCTTAGCAATTCTACAACAAACCTGAGCGACTCAAGGTCCAATCTAACCAACCCGGCGGCGGCGCCTACGCCCTGTCAACGTTTAAGGTATGCAACTAATTTCATAAAAACATAAACAGAAAAACTTTCTATTAAAATTCATATGTGTAAATTTTGTTTCTAACATATTTCGGTTTAATTTTATGCGCATCTTCAGCATTAAAATAGCAAAATTTATGATTTTCTTTAAACATTACCAAATCTGGCATTCTCGCCATTTGAGGTAACGTGTAAATTACTTTTGCCCAATTTGGGCATAGATTGTCATTAATGCTTAACTTTGGGCCAATTTGTGCTTTATTATTAATCTTATTTTTTTTGGAGAATTTATGCTTGTCGATTAATTATTTATTTCTTCTTTGCCTCCCCACTTGGTCAGAGCACTTCTTAGTTAATTATTAATCTTTTTACATATCACACATTTGATGACTTAGTGATTATATACATATATAGGCGAGTAGTACATAAGTACATTTTGTATATAGAAATAGGAAGGGCAATAAAATTTGGAAATATGTAGCTATAAATCATTTGAGGAGAATATTTTTAATTGATGATGAAACACTTACCGCTCACAGCAACTGAAAAGTAAGAAAGAGAAAGAAATTAGTGAAAAAAGTAGAAATATGTAGATATAAGTTTAAAAATTTACAAACTCGAAAAACTTTCAATAAATTAGGTATAAAGAATTAAGTATAAAGAAGATGCTCATTTAGGTCTCTTGGAGTATTGCATTGAGTCCTAAATGAGCTCTTATTTTTGCATAACTCCATTTCATATGAGATTGAACTTCATACCGCCTAGATTCATTGAGAATAAACTATTATTAATAATCCATTTCTTCTATGCAATGCCATGATTAAAATAAAGTCTTATATCGGGAAATTTTTTTATATACATATATTTTGTGTGTGTAAATGTAAACTGTTAGGATTCGATCACTGGATAGTTAACTAAAATACTCACGATTAACACTAATTTCACTTTTTACTTCAAATACTTTACACCTCAACAAATACTTTACACCCTTACACTTTGCTTATACGTACGGTGACCATCCCACAGCGGTTCAAAACTGGCATTTACTGTTTATAATTTACTGGAGCCTTCATTTTTCACTCAATTTTATTGGAAACTGCGTACCCAAAATTTTTCTAAAAACTCAAAAAGAATATTAGTTTTGGTGAATTTTTTTTAAAAACATTGCAATTTTTTAAATATTTTTTTTTCCAATTAGTCTTTATTAAGTAAAATGTATTAACCGGAGCAAGAGAATCAATTTTCCTCAAAATTGCTACTTTTTCCGCACTTTGCACTAAAAAATTTAATAGAAACATATAAAAATTCAAAAAGCGGGCTCAACTGCTCTTTTGCTAATTTATAAGCTTTCAATTAAAAATACATAAATTAAATTGGTTAAAAAATTAAGGCTCCAGTGAATTATGAACATTAAATTCCAGTTTTGTGCCACTGTGCATGCCTACTTTATTTCAAGGACAGTCCTTTTTCTTATGATGCTGTCCTTTGACTTTATTTAGACACTAATCTATTTCAGATATTACATCCAAATTAAAAATTTTGAAGAAAGAGAAGAGAAGAGAGGGAATTTAGACAGTCACACTTCTGCCAGAAGCCCCATTTTGATACCCCATCTACCTTCGCATGTAAAGGATCAAATTATTTTCCCTTACGCAGTGGAGAATGCCGTGAGTACTGAAGGATTCTTAGTAACTCGGCCAATCGTTAATTAGACGTTTAAGATTACGTTGTCCTTTGCAGAAAGCAAATTCGGTAGAAGTCATAGGAGGGAAAGCCGTTGCGCTCTTCTTTTATTCTTATTGACCAGCGATAAAACCACCCCTAAGCTAATATAGAGAAGATGAAAGAGAACTAGAGACTCAGATCTGTCAAATCTGTGTATAGTTCGAGACATAGTTCATTTGAAGATACATACATAGTTTTCATGACGACATTTGGGTTAGAATAAAAAGAAGAAGAATAGTTGCTTCCGAATACATATATTTTTTAGCTCCGAACCATCACTGGAAATTGAAATGGGACTACAGTCTGGCTTTTTACAGTTTACCATTCAATGCAGGCAGGTAAAATATTTCCTTAGTAGTAGTATGCTAGACTAGAATTTGTCGGCAGAAGGAGCGAAAAAGCTTTAGCAGCTTGCAGGAGTTGAAAGGAACGGCCCTCGTGACAAAATAAGCACCCTTTCCATTTTGCTTTTGGATGTATTTTTGGCTAACAAAAATTAAGTTTCATGAACTATGTGGTAGTTTAAATATACACTGCGGTCTTTTATCATCTCGTCAACATAAAGAACTTTTCTTTCCGACCGCTTGACACCTGAAACTTTGAAATTTGATTTCCCTTTTCAATTTTTTTGTGTCAAAAAAGCAGCCTACTCTTCAAATTTCACCCGATTTCGATTATTCTTTTTTTAAAAGCTTCTTTATTAATTTTATTGTTAGGAATGTTGTCGGTTTTTTGACGTAAAAAGTGTAAGAAATTCCGCCGAAACTAAAGGTGTAAAGGTCGATTCTTGGTCCCAGCAGGCAATGCCAAAGTATCGAATGTAATTCAGACATTATTGAAAGTGGCGCCAGATATTTTTTTGGCACACATATGCTCTCCCGCTTATGTTTTTCATTGTCCCATGATTTTGTTTTCATTTTTGTAAAGTTGCTTACAAAACTTACTTTTTTTTAAGATTTACAGATTTCGTGTCGTCAAACTAAAAATGGGACAAAAAAAACGCGCCAAGCACCAAACTCAAAAATGTTTGCGTTTTGAATAAATAACATTTTTATATTTAGTGCGAAAAGCAACAAGTAGTCAACAGTGATCCTAACTAGTGTTTTTTGGTACTCGGGTGCAATAGAATCAGGCATTTACTGCTAAGGGTAGATAAAGTTCTATACAGGAGCTATAAATCCATATTTTCTAAAACTTATTAATTAATTTGCTTATTTCCACATTATTTTTTTCATTTATTTATTTTCCATTTGCAGTGAAATGTTCCGTCGTTCGATTGCCAGCAGCGTACAATCAAGTTCGCGTGAAAATACCTATGAAGAGGTGAGTAACCGCCGTGAACACTTTTACGCAGTACAAAAAAAAATATAATGGATACTTAAACAATTTGACAAAATGGTTAACAAAAGAAAAAACAGAACATGAAATGTATATACTTACATATGTATATACTCAAACTCTTCATTCCCTTTCTAGGGGAGAAATTTTTAAGTTTTCAAATAATATATGTATATGAGCTATTGTATAAGAGTATTGTTATGCAAATGCCACATGGGCAAGAGCTGCAATAGAATTTCGACTGCGCCATCAAATGGTGTGTCTGTGTGATGGTAAACTAGTTACAAAGTATGATTCTACACACATTTTCCGTACAGCGAAAAACTCTTTATTTTGTTCATTCAAGTATTGCAAAGAAATTGTTCACAAAAAATTGTGCATATGTCTATGAAATAAATTCACAAAAAAAAAGAAATTGTGCAATTAGAACTACTGCATACGTATATAAATATTAGTGTCCGCCCGAAGCCGAAGCCGAATATTAGGTACTGTTCAAATTTCGGCCGAACACCGAAGCCGAAGCCGAACGTGAAAATTAAGTTTTACGTTTCAAAAATAACACCGAGCGATAGTAAATTTTACACACAAAAAAATCAAGATATTCGCGAAACTATGGACCAAATATAGTAAAGCTGCCTTTTTAGTTTTTCTCTCTGGCATCAGGATATTCTTTAGAAGGACTTCGATTTTTGAAAAATATGATTAATTCAAAAAATTATTTAAAAAATTTAGTGCAATGAAAAAAAACATTATGGTTATAAAATTAAAGAGGAAATTCCGTGGAAATAAAGCCAATGAAATTTTTTGGTGCATGAGGACTATTAGGTATTGACAATGTCCTTTTAAAATTGCATGCTTGAATATCCTTGAAATTGTGCAATAATTATTTTAAAAAAATATATATATGCTACGGACTAATATGCACTCGACCATATCCTCGAATTTTGTCCTTCGAATTTCATAGTTTTAAAAAATTAAATTAATTAAAAGACCATTTTCAATACCTATTAGTCCATGTGAACCAAAAAATCTAATAAAAAATCTGCCAAATATTCCGAACAGCGAAGCCAGGCCGAACATTCGGTCGGACACTAGTATATATGTATGTATTACGTACAGAGTTTTCTTCTCTTTTTCTCTTTCTAATATTGAAATGAACATAAGTAGAACATATTTTGAGTTTGCAACAGGCAGTTAATAGACCCTGCAAAAATCGTTGCACCACGTGGTCCATTTGTGCTGAATTGGAGTACTTACAAAATGCTCTTCTGTAATGCAGTAGCGGACCAACTCGTGCGTCTTCAACAGCTTATTATTACCCGATCATTGACCGTGTTTTAAAGATCTTAAACTCTACACGATATTTATTGGGCTATGTTGCCTAAAGGTAGGTATGTACTCCATGGAGTAATCCCTTGGAATAGTTTTGTGCTACTCTGATATAATGCAGTGCTGAAGTATATATTCCTGCCCTAGGACATCGCAATGTTAATTGGACCATATTTGTGATATGCATTTCGGTTAATTTTGAAGTACTCCTTAACCCTTAGGGAGTACTCTTTATATGCCTGCATGGAGTAGTCACGATTTTTGCAGGATTAGGAGAGATAAGCCACTACGTAAATATGTACTTCCATAAGTATGTATGTATGTATAGGTAAGTATGTCCCTATAAACATATGTACATAGGTGAAAATTTCTTTATTGAGCGGTACGCTGTCACTTCGGTATTGCGCCTGCGCGCCATCGTCCTTTTCCTAAGTAATGACGCACTTTCCCTGCAAACTAGCAGCTGCTCATCTATGCGGCAGCTTCTTGGGGTTACTTTTGTTTGCTGCTTTTAACCTTAACAAGCATACTCGGCAGCTGAACTACCCCCAAGTGCAAGACATTTCCAATTTTCAATATATTTGCATTGCTTCTTTTAATTTTTTTTGCTGTCATTGAACCTTTCAGTATCGAATTCTCTTGAATGCTGCGCCACTAGAGTGTTGTATCTACTATGTACCCTGTAGGAAAAAACGTGTATTAGCTGATGCTCTTTTCATCAATTCAAAGCTATTTAGAAAAAGTTTTAACTTATTTTAAAAATATACGTGATATCGCGGCTTGATAGGCATCAACATAAGTACATATTTTTCTTGCAAAGTCACTAACTTAGGACAGGACTTAAAAAACGCTTGCATTTCCCGGCAGGGAAGTATTCATAAATACGCGCGCCTGTGTGTGGCACGAATGCCTAGCAATCGCTGCACATCTGCTCTGGCGAGAAGGACTCCAAAAATGGAGACAAGCATAGATAATTGCGACTGCTCTTGTTCGTATCCATTTTATTTTTATTTTTTTTTTTTGTATTGTACTCATCACTGCATATTTTCCCGGCCTTCGTCCGCACTGCTTTTGGCGCACAAATTGGAATGTGTCGGCTGTAGAACCTTCTATTGTATCCATGCACTTTATCATTTGCAGATAATTTTCTACGTACAAGTAAAGTTAAAAGTAAACCAGCCGAGTTATGCGCATACATATGTATGTAAGTGTCTTTGTGTAAGTGGAGAAATAAATTTAGCGTCAACCTACGTACTTTTTATGCAATGAGGAATTTGTCAAGCGGCATAAGTACCTGAATGTAAATACAGATACATGAAATTAGAAAACATCTGTCTCTCTGTCTTTCTATGGCTCATGCATTCCTCATCAATCCAATTTAGGTCAGTTCGATTACCTTTTTTCACTACATATGTACATACACAGCCATTTATGTTCACGTGTAGTACCTTAGCGGCCTGACTCATTAACACATTCCATCAGGACGACTAGAGGTTCTCGGCATTGGCCGCCATTAAGTGATCTCATGCAACGATGTAATTCAGGAATTTAATTCTGTTGACAGAATAATTCCTCTGTGTTTGACGCTGATTGCCTCCTTTTTAAGTTTTAGGAAAGGACGCTTGCTCTATGCCTGAAAATTGTTTCCTATGCAACTTGTGAGTCATTAAAATATTATCTATATCCTTCTATTCCATTTGATAATTTTATGGAACTCACGAAAATGTTTTTGCAAGGACATTTTATAACCGAATATATGTAGTTTTGTTCAAGCGGGCAAAGAACTGCCCGAAGAGCTATGGGCCGGCTATCGTGTAAAGCAGAAGGAGTGCATAATTATATAATTCGTAGGCCTACGAAATTTAACTTTCCCGCCTTCCAATGATTATGATTTCAGCTAACTAATTTAAGTGAAATTTTGACCAGTTTTGGTTATTTTTCTTTTGTTTGTTTAATGTTTATCATTTTTCTATAAAAGTCTAGCACTTTACATAACCAGCAGCACATAAATCCACATTTGAAACTGCGTACAAAAATTATAAAAATTAAAGTGCAAATTTCAAGACGCTAGAAAATTGCGTTGATTTTTAATAATTTTTTTTTTTGTGGCTGGAGGAACTAGACATTTTCTTCCATTATAAAAATGATTTTCGAGCATAATATACATATATGGGCATAATATACATATATGGGCCATTTCATACATAATTTACAGCTCAATGTTTCATTATCGAAAAAAAGAAGACACCTATATTTTATTTCATCACGATATTCGAAAATCTCGGAAAAAAAATTATGTCGCAGCATAAAAAAACTCGTAACTTCTATATCTCTGATAGACTACATATGCAATTGCAAGACACAATGTTCTCGGATGACGCCGGTAAGAATCCTGTCCTATGTCATCCTTTGAAGTAATAAAAGCTATAGCCACTTTTTGAATTTCCCAAGAACTATGGCTTGTTTTAATTTTGCCAAAAAAAAATATGTCCAGTTTAGGAATTAGCCAAAAGTGTGGCCCGCTTTCGATATACTGAAAATGTATGCCAAGTTTTTGAATTACCAAAATATTTTTTCCATTTTTTAAGTGAGCAAATATTTCAGTGCCAATTTCTACACTGAGCCAAAAGCACAATGGTTTTTAAAACCAAGTTATGGATTGATTTTTTCGTGGTCGGCTTGACTGTAAGAAATGTGATTCAAGTTGAACATTTGAGAACAAATTCGTATGTATCGCAGTGGCTGAAGGTGCAGAGGTGCTTGCTGTTATTTGTTGCCTTCCAGCGAGTGCCTTCAGAGTGATACATAATTTTTATTTTTTTCTGTTTTTGGTTTTGCTTAATTACGAAAAAGCCTCTGTGAAGTGCAGAACTAAATCAAACGACGAAAAAATTGATTCAAGTTGAACATTTGAAGACGAGTTTATAAAGCGGCTGTAGCTCAGTGTGTAGAGATGCTTGCTGTCATTTGCTAATCCCGTCAGAGGCAACATTTAAAAGTGATAATAAAAATTGTTGTTTTGTATCTCCGAATTATGAAAAAGCATCTGTAAAGTGCAAAACATAAACTTATTCAAACGAAAAGTCGCCAACCAATATTTTGGTTAATGTAAACAAAATTGTGGTTAATATTACCATAGCATTGTTGAAAATATCAACCAAGGCATTGTTAAAATTAACCAAAAATCACGTTGATTCCTTTTCAAGTTTGAATTTGGTAATATTAACTAATTATTGGTTGATTTTTCTCTCAGTTTTTAACTGTCGAAACCAATTTTTTTAGTAAGAAAATTTATGTCCAATTTTTTATTTGCTACTAAACTATGGACCAAATTTACAAAAAAATTATGTCCTGTTTCTACTTTCCAGCGTTTAAAAGCAAGTTATTATTCTTCATTTGTTCTTTTAATAGTTTTTTTATGGAGTTATTCGCTTTGTTAATTCGGATTTTAGAGCCATGTCTGGGCATCTCGGCAATTGTTTAGGTCCTTTTTCAGAACTCAGTAAAAAATGGCGTTCAAATATTGCAGTGATGCAAAAGAGTGTCACCAATTACTTAGAATTTTCGATTTCGTTAATTGGGTCGTTTATGTAGTTTTTGACTCAATTAACTCAAATTATGTATCTCTTTTGCTTATTACAGTAAAAAACCAATAA